CAGAACATCCACCTTCAGCTAGCAAGCGCTCTGCCCTCTCTTCAGGGCCCTGTCTTGAACATCTACTTTTACTGCTTCTCTTGCATGAATTTATGACAATGTAGAATAAGCTGAGATATGATATATACTTTTCAACTGTATATATAAAAAAGGATGTTGTCACACCAGTTTTTTATCTCCACTATTCAGAAATTCTTGAGAACTACTTAGTAGTGCAGAACTTTTCTCACAAAGTAGGGAATCAGTCTCTGTAAGGCCTTTTTGGGTGATGCAGTTGAATTCATCTCACCTCACTTTAGATGTCTGCAGCAGAGAGACGTGCATGTGAGCTAATCACCCAGAGCTACTTTTGGAGGGAATTACAAGAGATTGGTGCTTTTAGGGTACCATACTCCTTATCTGTTTGGAGATCTACTTTAAGATGAGGTAAAATGCATCCAGAAAGGACTGATGCTGTCCATTGACTGTAACGGAAGTCTAAACAACTCAATTGTAGATACACATGCTACAGATTCCTGTGCTGAGTCGAGTGTTTCCCCTTCTGTGTGACTGTGTAACAGTACTGTGTTGTATGCAATAGCCATCTTTTTGTGGCTTCATACAAAAGACTTCTTTTTTCCTGTTAAAGAGAATTCCATTTGGTACTTTATTTTGTATAAAAAAATGATTACAGAATGCAAGTTGAAAGTAAAACAATTAATGTAAGAATTCAGGTATAATAAAATGAGATCGTTCAGTAAGTCAGAGAATTAAATTAACTTACAGTAATTGTGACCTGAGTGATACCGTAGGATCAAAAAATGTAGGAGTGATTCTTGAAAAATTAGTTTTATTTAATTTGAGATCAAGGTTGCAATCATGTTATTTTCTGATGGCCAAGAGAGAATTAGGTTGAATGCTTTAACTATGAATCTGCATTTTGTGGATTTCAAAGACAAATTCAGCTCACATACAAAGGCATTTTGCTCCTAATTTCAGTTATGGATGGTTTTTACCATGGTGTAAGTATGCAAACAAGTTTCTTAAGGGAAAGAAAGAACATCAACTTAATGCACTTCAGCCAGTGTTGGCTAATTGCCCATGACCATTCCTTTTCCCAAGAGCACTTTGTGAAAAAAGACTGTGTGTGCAGTTAACTTCGACGGACTAGCCGACATGTTCCACTTTCCTTTGCTATAGCAGAGGACTTAAAGTGCTGAGACTGAGGAAGCTTCAACTGTGCCATAGGTTATGTGAGGAGCATGCTGGGTGATCTTCAGCAAATAATTTCACTATGATGTGCCTCAGTTTCTCATTAATTTTTCAGGATATCAGTATCAGTGTCTTATGTGATCTGCGTCTCTCTTCATCAGAGCCAGGCAGTGCTATTAATCATTGACAGAATATCTATTGTATTAGTCTGAGTAGACTTTTATTAAGGTGGGGTACAATGGCTTAAGGTAAGTCACATTTTACAGTGGCAGCAACATAGGTAAGTTTTTTGAATAGGAAAGAGTTGCTTCCCACTAGACCTGTTAAACCAGTGTGTTTTTCCTCTTGACAAGGTACTGAGTCATCCACTGCCTGGAGGGTGGCACTCAAATCATCAATAAATAGCCATTTTGCCCTGTAGGAGAGCCACATTCACTTTGCAGGACTCCACATGTCGTTCCTTGGTTGGACAAACGTTGTCAGAGCAGGAGTGGCCCTGAGAGTGAAGTGGGGAGCACATTGATTGCACATCAGGTGTTCAGGAAACGATGCTGACATGTTCTAAAGGGCATCCTTTGCAGCAGGCCAGATTTGTTGTGATTTAGGTTTAGGTCTAGGTCAAAGCTTTCTGAAGATTTGGAAGTGTAGGTCCTCTGGACTCCATCTAGTTTGCTGCTTGCTAGGTGGATGGGCAGTGAAAATTCTAGCACGTGGGGCCGTACAGATGACCCCACAACTATGTATTCTATTACTCCTTGTAAATGAACTTACTCCATATACCTTCTTTACCTCCCAGGACACTCCAAGCTCCTCTGTTTGGAAAGCCCCTATTCCTTATGCTGGTTACTCTGCATACTCCTTGCTTTTTATCCTTCTGACTGCAAACCTGCTTCTCTTCATCTCCAGTCAGAGTGCCAGTGTTTGCTACCTTTCTCTTTCCTTCCCAGAGCTGGGAAATGTATTGATTTTTTCTGCTCTTCTTAGGAATGTGTCACTGCTCTGTTCTGCCTGCTCTCAAAGTGCAAGAAAGGTGAAATGAGTGGTCTCCTTCCTTTTCTTCCTCCCATTTCTTTTCCGTCCACCCCAAGGGCTGCATTTCCTCCTGTTTCTCTTCCCTTCTCCCCAGGACATTTTTTGCTCTTGAGCCTCTCTTTTTTGCTATTTTCCCATTTTTCTTTAGTATCCCTTTCCTTCCTTACTTTTTTCTTCCCTCCCCTTTCCTTCCTCGAGTAAGTTAAGATGGCATTTGCTTTCCCAGTGTGGAGAAGATGGCAGAAGTGGGACCATCATATTGTCCTGGAAGGTCTAAGAAGGAGTTCTGGGTTTCCTGAAAGTAATTAATTGTCTAAAGTAGCTGTGAAAAGGGATGGATCCTGAGAGAGTAGTCCTGCCTTTGTGCTTGGCTCTCCTGTTCAGTCTTTGCTTGCTTTTTAATTTTGTTTGCTGTGTAAAGGCCAGCCATAGTTCTATCCAATGTGTGGCTAAATGTTACCTGGAAGAGGAGTTTTGTAATTTTTTTACACGTGTCTGATAGTTGTTTGTCTCTAGATAGAAAAAGACTCCATGGGCAAGAGCATTTGAAGGTATTCACTTGCTTGTTTCTCACAGAAACAAGTAGAGTTAAGGTACCTATACAAACATATATCCATTGCTACTGTGTGAAATTTAAAGTGAGAAAGAAGCAAGGGGACTTCGGGATACCAACAAATTAGTAGGAAAAGGGATGTATGATGACTGGAGAAATGTCTATGTTGTGAAGGATTTAGTCTTATCTCTTTTATATATTCTTAGTTCTGCTATAGATATTTTCTGTTGCTCTGCCCAAGTTACTTATAGGATAGATAGGATTTGTCTGTTTGTTAGATTTTTTTAAAAAAATGTTCTGTTTATTTAGTTAGACAGATTTATCTGCTGTTTTATCTGCTTAAACATCTCCGAGAACTTCATTCTGTTTGTTTGGTAAAATAAGTGTAATAGTACTTCCTGACCTATGGTCTCCAATATTCAGATAATTTTCAGATCTCTTTTAATAAGGATTATTTTCTATGCTGCTGTGTGTTACAGATGTGATTTGTCTCCCAGTAAGATGATACACCACCATAAAAACATAAATTAGTGTTAATAATGCAAATACCATCTTTTGTTCGTCTTTGATTTCTTATATGCAACTACAAAAATCTCAACTGATGCTTTTTTTTCCCTTTTTTTTTGCTTCAGTTACCTTGCTAACGATATATTATTGTTTGGACTGCCTATGTGATGGTGTTTTCTTACATTTTATTAATAATTTATGAATCTTTTTGATTTATAACATTATTTCAATGTTGTTTATTACAGATAATCTCTTCAGCGCTTCTAAAATAGTCACTATACAAAAAAAATCAGTGGAATGTGTGTAAAATGGTCTAAAAATTGGACAGCTGTTGAATTCCAAAACTATTCTGAACTTTAATCTAACTGTAAAAGACACAAAATCTTGTTTTGGAAGCTGAAGCTAGAGAAATTCAAATTAGTAAAAAGGTGCACATTTTCACTGTGAGAGCAAATATTAGTTGTGACAAGTTATGTAGTACTGTGAAACATATTCCAGTTCTTGATTCTTCCTAAAACAGATGCTATTGTGTAAAGAAAAGCAATAGGGATTTTTCCTGAATTACTGTTTGACCTATATTAATGCAGGAAGACATTGTTGTAATAGTCCTTTTGGCTTTACAACCTGTGAATTTTTGAATCTGTGTAATGTTTCTTTTTTTAATTTATTTTCTAATTGAGCATTAGCCTAATTCCTGAACCTGCATCTGTAGCTGAGGTTGTTGAGTACTAGCGTCACGTCTTCATATGGCCTTTGATTCACTGTCTTTAAATCAAAAGTGTCCTCCCTCTTGTGCAGTATAGCATTTGATTAATGGGATTGGAAGGCTGGTTGTGTTGAAATTGGATTGCAAAGTGGGATATTACAGCTAAATCATCAAATCAGATCTGCAAAGGTATTTTTGCTTGAAATACAGCCCTTGTGCAAAGGGAAAATACACAGCAATTGTGGTTCTGAGAGGGAGTAAGAAAACACAAAAGGGATATCTTAAAACTACTAAGTGTCTATCTGTTTCTTGGTGCAAGTACTGAGACTTAGAATCACTTGTGAAACAAAAGCCATTTTTAGATATCTCTGCTTTGCCTGAAGGAGCAAGAGCATGAGAACTGTTACAAGTAGAGAGTGTTATACAAGTACTTACGTCTTTGCATGATAGTCTGGGATATAATCTGACCATTAATAAGTAAAATTTGTGTATCCATATCTTATAAAATTCTTCCAGAAATGATCCACTTCCAGATCATCAGATCTTGAAGGCTTTTACATATGAAAGTAGTATCACTAAAGCCTAATTTACAATAGTATAATGGAGGTAAAAGTGTTTTGAATGATCACTGTAGTTGAATTTAGCACGGACATTATTTTTTGCCCTCATTTAAAACTGTACGATACTGCTGAGTGCACAGAAGGGCCGGAGGCAACCAGCTGTGCAGCTGACAGATCCATGCTCCAGTAGTGGAGAGTGTGCTGTATGACCTGTGCACTGTTCAATATGCGGGGCAGGATATTAAAATTATCAGTGTACTTTCTCACTTTCCCTTCTAAGCATTTGCATTATCTTCTCTCTCTCTCTTTCATTCCATCACAAACAAGGATTATATTAATCACAAGTTTCCAGGATAAGAGTGTTGGATGGAAATGTCTACTTCAGATTGTTATTATTGTGTGATATTGATGTACAAAAATGGTAACTTCTTTTCTTTATTATTTCCCACAGGGTGCAGCTCTAATTCGAATGTTAGCTAACTTTATGGGTCACTCAGTGTTTCAAATGGGCTTGCAAGTAAGTAAAAGCATTTCTGTCTTTGTGTAGGCATGAATTTCTAGCAGTCTCTGTCTCTGTCTCTTTTTTCTTTTCAAACTATGTTTACATCTGTTTTTTGAAATGTTTCTGTACTTCAGGACCATCTGAGGCACCAACGTGTCTCTGAAGCTTAATTTGATGGAGGATGCTTAGTGTAACATACATTGCGGTGCCTTGCAGTTTCTTAGTGTGTCAAGTGATTGCACTTTAACTGGCACAAATACACACCCCTAAAACTAGTAATGCTTTTCAGATAAATTTTTTTGCCTTCCCTTCCCCCCATAGCAAAATCCTTGAGCTTTACTTTTAGCTTTGATAAGCATGGAGTGCTCTCTGCCATAATGATATTTTGAAAACTCACTCTGCCTTTTAAAAGAAGTTTAGAGGTAACATTTCTGTACAAAGAGAAAGAAATGCAGCATGCTGTTTAGCAAGGATGAACTCTTTTCAGTAATAAATCAGTGCAAATTAGTGTTTCGTAAACTATTTTAAAACAAACAAGCCAAAGCATAAAAAACAATGCGACTCCCTCTATTCCATTGAAATCTGCTTGAGTAAATCATGTTACAGGCAGCTGTGATTGATGAATTATGTATGATGCAGCCTGCTACTTAGAAGTGTCCTTTAAAGTAAATTGATGTTCACCTGAAATACAATTATGCTAAGATGGAAAGAGCAATCAATCTTATCTGTTCTTAGTAAGCTTTTCATTTTGAAATTTAAATAAACTACATCTAGGATCAGGTAATTTTTTAACAGAATAATTCCACCTCTAACCAAAATAAATTGGAAGATAAAATATAAAAAAAAAGTTAAACAAATGCATTGGTTGTGTCAGAGAGATGTGTTCCATGCAATAGACAATGAAAAGAGACCTGCTGGGGAAATAGAGCTTTTTGAAGAGTTTGCAGGACATTCGGTGTTTGCAGCGTGTCTTAATCACAGGACCCAGTTGGATTGTTTTCTTAGTTGAAACATCAGGTCAGATCAGTTAGATAATCTTGTTATCCAGATAAGAAATATTGAAATAATAAAATTCCTTCATTAAATCTTGTATATGTCAAGGGCAAGCCCCTCATCTCATTTAAACTGGTAAGACTTCTGTCCTTAATCCAACAAATTTCATATTCCAGCCAGAAACTTTTGCCTGCACAGATTGATTCATGTGGAAATTCAGTAGCACTTTTTTTCCCAAAAAGCGTTTCCCTCAGGCTTTTAGAAAGGGAAGTTTTTAATACACACATCTCAAAACGTGGGTTTCTGTTTTCTTCAGTGTTTGTGTGAGAAATAACAGTGTTCAAGTTGTCCTGAAAAAAATTGAGAAAAAAAGTTCAGGTTGAAGAATAGGGCTGTCCAAGGATTACATAGTCACAATTACCATAAAGTTGTAATGAAGCTTTGTTTTTTTTATTTAAGTGTTTTCCCATTATTTCTTCTTTTTACTGGTTCTGCTCTAAATAGAAACTTCTGTTTCCTGTTGAAAGTCCATGAAAAATCTGTGAAAATCTGACTAGTGAAAGTCGTGGCATCAGTTCAGCAATGTTATTCTAACTTCTTTTATAAAAAGCGTTTGAAATCCACATAGAGATTTTCCATGTGTATGTCTCCAAGTTGAATAAAATAAAATACACAGTTCGTAAGCTTGTTCATAAGCTACAAATTGCACAATTGGAAACATCTGTCAATCCTTTAATTCTTTGTGTTTTGTGTGTCTAACAGAATAGTGTTCCTGTACAGCAGAGTTGGGAGGCCAAGTATGGTAATGATAAGAGGAACTGGAGGGCTAATTTAACCTCTCTATCATACATTGGTTTAGGCATTTTAGCTCTTTATCCCTGGTAAAATGAATTGGAGTTTAGCATTATGTTGCCACAAATCCAGTTTTATGATGGAATTCTAATGTTCAGCTAAATGGCCTTTCTCAAAGATAGCTTCAAAATCAAGTATTACTACTATTTGTAAATCTTTTCAGGTAACGAATGCTCTGAAAGTGCAATTGATGGCTTATTCCTCCTGGGTTATTCTAATGGCTTGCTGAGTAACTGAGTTCTGAAGGACCTTTGTTTTATCTTACTTGCTTTGTTTTTCATTAGCCTCCAGTACATGGAGCATATTAGTGTTAATAGTATTAATATTATTTCAGTTCTTTTTAGTGTATAAGATATGTCCTTAAGTGTTTCACAGATGATAAAAAACGACTATTCCTGTAGTCTTATTATACTAAGATAAAAACAAAATGAGCAGTCCTTTATTTCTGTTTGCATTGGGTGCTTGTGGTTCCATAAAAATCAAGGTATGATTCATCATCTAATGAAGAATTATAGAATTATAGCTTTTATATAAGAGAAGCTACAACAAATATGCTAACCTTTGGGTTAAGGACAGGAAAAGATAAGGTTTAGAGCAAGAAACAAGTGAAATAGCTACCTTTTTGTTCATTACCACTTTTTTGAAGAGCAGATCAAGATAACTTTTGGCAGAAAAATCCCTTCTATGCCAATGAAAACAATCAATTGTGTTGAAAAGAAGAAAAAAGTTGATGAAGGAGAGTGGTTCTCTTTGTTGGGTATTCTTTTACAGTGAATATAAGCTGAAGTAATATACAAAAGTCACATGATCTCTAAGAGCTCACCAAACTGTTCTGCTGAGGAGTCTGCAGGGAAGTAAAATTGCAGTAGAGAAGCTCAGTTTTACAGCATAGATGGCTTGGGAAAGATTCATGTCTGTCAAGAATAACAGGCCTGTTCCTATCACTGTAAATATACTGTGGAAGACCATTGGATTGTAGTGTGGAAGTTTGACAATAAAGTGCAACCAAGAGACTACCTAGTGAATGTATGATTTTCTGGAAGCCTTTCAAAGACATATATTGTCTTGAATCATGTGACACTTTCAAACAGAAGATTTAATAACAAAGGCAGAACTTTCTCAGGGTTTTCACATAGCACTCCATAAACAAAACCTAAAGAGAACATATTTGTATTGGCCATAATGAATAATTAAATAATGACAGTAATAGCCACAGCTGGAAATATGGGAAAGTCATAGCTATTTTTTTTGTAGAAAATGTCTAATAAACTCTTCCTTCTCACAGTAGGACATTTCTTTCTTTTTAAAAGTCTTTCACGATGTGCAAAACTCCTTATGTTCCAGGGAAATTCAAGGCATGCATGCCAGTACTCTTCTTACAAAGTGGTGTTGCTTTTCCCTCAAAAAAATATTAATCATCTGTGACAGTGATTAGAGTGTGAGAGGGTTGGTCAGCACCACTTGCTCTGATTATGTTTCTGAACTGCATAGATTGGTAGAGGAAGAAGCCATAAGTTGGTCTTATCATTCAGTCATCACTCAGAGCAGTAATATGTAATATAGTATTGGATTTGTGTGAGATTTTTGTCTGTGGGCTGTTGTTCTTAATCTGTGTGCTTGAAATAGATGGTTGCTTACATGAGTGGTGTCACTGCATTACATTTTCTGAAAGGCTTTACTGCTTTATGGAAAGGCATCTCTTCAAAGTATCAGTGTGGCTTGGTATTTTTTTTCATATTAGATGTGGAGAGAAAGCCCAGTTAGACCAAGTCTAGTATTTAGATGTGTGTAAAGAGGCACCTCCAGCTCTATAATGAGACATTTCTGGACTGGTTTATTTAAATTTTGCTTGTATTTGGTTTGAGTATTTTGGAGCCTCATCTCTATTGCTGAGCATTTGTCAACACTGCATTTCATTTGCCATGTGGCAGCTCATTGATCACATAGATCTGTATCCTTTTGAACTTCGCTTGCTGCTATGTATGCGTTCATCACTCACTCTGATTTAGTGCATCATCAGCAGTTTGAATTAGTTACTGTAGGAATCTCTGCTTCTGTGATAAATTAACTGCTTTTGTACTTTAGGCTTCACATTTGGACGAAGAGTTTCCATACAGTGCTTTGGATATAAGCTGTCTTTTTTGGTGCTTTTGAGTGGCCACTGTATTGAAACAAATTGGTCAACCTTTCAGCGGAGCTGTCTGGGGAAATGTGATATGCGGGCTGTTAAATACAGCAAGGTTCACTTTTCAGTCACTTTTTACTATCATGAAGCTGGCTAGTTAGACTTTCTTTCATCCACACTGCTTAGTATTTCCTGCTTTTTCAAGACACCTCTCTGCATGTCTTGTGTTCTGTTTGAATTATGACAGTCAGTGTGAAACCCTATCAGAAACTTCCTATATGTAAAATAAAAAAACACTAGTGTGCTATTTTCCATATTGTTTGCCACTTCTGTCCAAGAATCTAGTAGTACAAGAAATGCATTCATTTATTTCTACAGTATTATTTTATAATTTTTTTTTACATAGTATATTATAAACTTTACCCATTCTATTGTATCTATTTATCTTTATTCTCAATTCAAAAGTTTGCTATGGGATTTTTTAAAACAAGACATCATTAGAGACTACTTAATGGAGTTTTCCATAAAAACAAACAAAAAAAATCTATAAAACCAAAGAAATGAAACAAAAAATCAGACACCTCAGGATCAGGTTTACTGAAGCAATGAGCTGCTGTACTGTCTCCAGATCAGTAGAGCACATGGAACTACTTGAAGTCTTCCTTTGCTCAAATGGAGAATGTAACTTTTGCCACTAGGCAGGAGCATCTTTAGAGCTGGAATACCTCTGGTACCTTGGTGAGCATCAAAGTATCACCATGGGCATACTGGCTGTGACCTATCCTTAAGTTTGTTGCTGCTGATCCCTTTATTTATTAAACTGTCTCATTTCTACTGGCAGGTGTCAACAAGGTAACTTGAGCAAGTAAAGAACAGGAAATAGGAAGTTCTAGGAAATCTCGTAGGAGCTGACATCACTATTTACTGCATTGCCCGTTATGTGAGATTGATAACATCTCTCATCTTTTCTGGCCCCTCAGCATCTCTTATGCTTCTAATTTACATCACTATGGATTTTAGGTTTACATTTGTTAAATGAATTCAG